ACAGTTTAATTTAGCATCTCAAGTACTCTCTTTCCCTCCCTCTTACTTTCTTAGTCCTGCTCCCCAGTACCAGCCTGTGTAACCCTACGCAGAGCCAGATAGCCTCTCCCTGTCCTGGCAAGCGTAATGGCAAAGCGACAGTAAGGTTGCTGCCTCATCAGACCGCTTTCCCGTAGCACCGACTTCTTACCGGGCGCTCTTCCTCCCTACATCCCAGCGTGGCTTATGGCAAAGGAAAGCACTGTTATTTCAATTTGCAAATGGGGAAAACGAACCGTGTAATTACACCAGTCCCTCCAAGAGGCCAGTGTCAGAGCCAGGGATCAAATTCTGAAATGATAGGACCACATTTACCGGACAACTCTTACTTCCTTGTTTATTAAACTATCCAGTAATGTAAAGATACATTAGTAACAGATGTGAACCAGAGCGGGAAAGCAGAGTTCAGTGGACGTTCCTCCTCTGTTTCTGTTCCAGCCCAGATCTGAATGAGATACGAGTAAAAGAAAAAGCTCTCCCCTCGCTGTCTTTCTTGATGCAAAATTAAATAAAAGTTGGACTGGAAAAGATCTTCCATGATCCAGGTCTCTCTACAAGAGCGCGATAAGCGTTCAGGGGGCAGGGTGGCAGTCCTGAGGAGAAATGAGCACCTACTATTCCCTCCAAGCTGTGCCAGCTGCAGGCACTCAGGAGCAGATCTTAAAATAGTTGAACTGCATATCATTCAAAGGCAAAAAAAAATTAGAAGGCAGATGTGAAAGCAGTAGTGTGGTTTATGCTTTACTTCTTAAAAATAAATGCTGAGGCTTTAAGCCTTCACTCTCTGTTTGGTTTACATAATTTAGAGGGATTAGCTTTTTCCATCCTCCTAAGAGAGCAACTGGTGAGTGTCTATTTTGCATCTGGGGAAATGTGTGTTAGTCTCGAGGCCTGACATTTGTTTTGTGTCTATGGAATTCACCCTGCATGGGGCTGTCAAATTAAATACTATAACTGGCTTTTCCAAAGCAGCAGATAATTTATTGGTCATTAAAAATCCTAGTGGCTGTGCAGTCTGCTTGCGCTGAAGTCTCTTATTGGTGCCAGGGCATAAGAATTCAGTAAACGCTAATCATGGACACAGGCAAAGGTTTCAGGTGGTTGAGACCCACAGGGCTGGTGCAGGACCACTTCAGTTGCTGTTTGTTTCCTCTGTACTCACTGTGCTTCTCATACATAACATCGATGGGTTTGGGGTTTTTTTTCCTACCCAAAATGGGTTTCAAAAGCCTTAGGTTTTAGTCCTATAGACCAAGGACCACCTTGCTTTGTCATAAGCAATGGTTTGTTGGTAGCTGTGGCTGACATGGTGTATTTTCTCAGTGGCTTTGCCACTTGTGCTGATCCTAAAGCGTGCTCATGGGTATTATCCTGGCATGGGTAATGAGATCAAGGTTTTCCCCTCTGAAGACCGTCACGTGACTGACTGCCTGAACGATGGGGCAGGTTCCTTTTCTGCCCTTCCGCCTTATGAAAATTTGGGAGAAGGGAAGCAAAGCTGAAGGTACGTGTGGTCTGATCCCGGATGGTCTGTGTGCTGTCAGTCCGAATGCAGCCTGATCCAGCAGAAGTCAGGAGCACCCGCTTTCCCAACCCACAAGAGCCATGTGTCTTAGGTTTCTCCCTCTTGTCCCTTGCGTCTTTGGTGAGTCATAGTGTTTCACAGCCTTAATTAATTTTTGAAAATAACACTTTGGTATATTTGAAAATAATATTCTTGTTTTACCAGGAAACGGAGTAGTTCCAGCACAGGAGGATAGCTGGCTTATGGGAATTATTGGCTGGAGTGGAGCTGAGGGAAACCCACTCCTTTTTGTAGGCTCCTTTTCTGCGATGTCAAAGCAGTGAAGTGTATCAACCCATAGTCATCAGTGAGTTTATCTGTGGCTTTATGACTCCTAGGGGCAACACTGAGCCTTGTAATAGGGCAGAGCAGGCGACCTCCTCTTCCTTGGTGAGCTCAGGCACTGCAGACGTCTTGCTGCTGAAGAGCTGGGCCCAGCCACGCTGTGAACATGGAAACTGCAGCTGCAGGTCCATGGCTGTGTAGTTACTCCAAGGTCTGTAACGTGGGCCTGCACCTCATGATGCAAGAGATATAGCTGGCTTAGTTCCCTTGTTATCCACACCTGGTTGCATCCGTTTTTGCTTAGGAAGGTGCCCACCAATGGTCCAGAGCAAGAATTTTGGTTCATTTATGGTCTGGTAAATGCCTGCAGTCAGCCAGCATCTGCAGTCAAAGCTTCAGACTACCCCTGTTCACCAGAAACCCTAATGGCTGAGGAGCAGATAATGAAATAGGAATGCGAACAACTTGAAATGCAGATGAAGCCACAGACTCTTAAGTCAAAGCAAAGTGCTGTTTCAGGATTGATTAACAGAGGTGCATCCAAGCAGTTACAGTTGACAGAAGTATTTTAGAAAGGCGCACAATTTTAAGTACCACTAAATAATACTTTACTGGCTTAGTAACATATCTAAGTGTTGCCAAAGTCCAGAGTGTTCTTTCTGTCTGGTCTGGAGGTGCTACCTGTTTATCATCAGAGTCTTCTACTGGCTTATCATTTTCATTCTGGATGCTTATGGTGTATTTTCTGGAGGTGTTTCTGTTGTAAAAGCTAATGGCATTTGCTTCCTGAAAGGTGGGAGAGAGGACTGGTGTGACACTGCAGGCCTGACAGCTAACACATGAAGAGGATGTATGAACAGGAAAGGAATACTGAAGGTATGGTATTTTTTGTCCGA